TTTAGTTATGAGATAAGCCATGTGTCAAGGAGTTAGCAAGGAGAGAAAGTAGAGGCAATGAAAATAATTGTTTTTTTTGTTTTGTTTTGTTTTTTAGTAGTTTGGCTAAGAAAGGGAGGAGAAATATAGGACAATAGCTTGAAGTCTAGTTAAGGTTTTTTAAAGCATCTTTGAAAGCAATGCAGAAGGAATCAATAGATTGGGAGAAGTTGAAGGTTTGAAGGGGGATCATTGAGGCTGTATTCTGATGTAATGAGTGAGGGGATGGGGATAAACTGCATGTACAGAGGGATTGGCCTTGGCAAGGAGAAGGGCAATCTCATTGTCAGGTGATGGGGGAAAAGAAGAGCATGGGAAATGAGGTCAAGGGGTTTTGAAATGAAAAGAAAAAGAAAAGAGGGAGCTCATATCAAATGGCCTAAATTTTCTCAGTAAATTTAAAAAAAACAAAATTTTCTCAGCTGAGAAGGGGTGGGGGGAGAAGTTGTAGGAGGCTTGAGTAGAATGAATTCAGTAGAAATGCATTCATTAAGCATTTACCATGTGTCAAGCAGTATGCTAAGCACTGTAATTGCAAAAACAAAAGCAGTTAGTTGCTGCCCTCAGTGAACTTATATATTAATAGGGAGAGTGGGTTGCAAGTAGGGAGACAACTCTCGTAGGGAAATGGTGACTAACAAGGGGCATACTGGTCTAAAAAAGTTGCTGGGAAGATGGATACCACAGTGAAGTAGATTGACATACCCCATCCAAAAACAATGGCAGAGTTAATTCGATCGTGATTTGTGGTTCCAAAACTGGAGATGGGGAGTAGGAAATAGTTGGCTACATGGCCATGGAAGAGGTGTTCAGACAGGATGGAGTGAAGTGAAGCATGATTGGGGATTTCCTGAAGTAGTGGTCCTGCTAAGTCAGTAACCAAACAGTACAGCAGGACCTCTAGACAGAAATTTCACTAGGGCACATTCTTTGGTGGTAATATTGAGGAAAGAAGTAATAGTTTAGTTAAACTGGTTACCATGGGCAGGGAGATAGGGAATCAATTAGGAAAGAATAAAAAAATTGCCTTGCTGAAATTAGGGCCCAGTTGAAGTTAAGTAACATTAGTTTATAATGTATCTAATATTGTTATACAACTTCCTCTAACTCCATTCAGTAACACATGTGTATGAGCAGAGGAAACAGATGGGAATAATCTAAGGCCAAGGTTTAGCAAGGAAAGTAGTATGTGTGAGAAGTGTGTGAAATGCTGACGAGAGTGAGAAACATACCTTCTCTGAAAAAGGGACTTCATATAGTGGATTCACCCTGATCCAACCTGGCGTCAACGATAGAGGTCTCTTTAGATAGTGTAGAAGTGGGGGTCAGAGTCATAATCAAAACTACACCTCAAGGCAAATTCAATCCAGCCAGAGGACAGAAAAGGCAGCTATATGGTGCAGTGGATAGTGCTGGGATTGGAGTCAGGAAGACCTGGGTTAAAATCCAGCCTCAGGCACTTATTAGCTGTCTGACCATGGGCAAGTCACTTAACCTCAATTTCCTCAACTGTTAAATAGGGATAATAAAATAGAGATAATAACTGGACCTACCTCACAAGGTTGTGGGAATCAAATGACATAATATTTGTAAAGACTTAGTACTGTGTCTGGCATGTAATAGGCACTGTCAAAATGCTTATTGCCTTCCCCAGATCAAAGGGAAGAGGGGAAGCACAGAGCAGGGCAGTGGCCTGTTCTTTGAGAGGGAAAGTTGCACTAAAAGGAGGTCAGTAGGACTTCAGAGAGGCAAGTGGGCTTGGCTGTAGCCCTTACCTCCAAGTGACCTTATGAGGCACAGGAACAGTGGTGGCCATGGAGGAGAAGCATTGAAATGTTCTACTAAAGACGAAGCATACTACTCTGCTGTTGTCTAGTAACACAGGCAGGGAGCCTTTGGCCTCCAGGCCACATGTTCCCCACCCCTGGTAATCATTTCAGTCTTGTCCAACTCTTTATCATCCCATTTGAGATTTCCTTGGTAAAGATACTGGAGTAGTTTGTTGTTTCCTTCTCCAGGTCATTTTACAGAAGAGTAAACTGAGGCAAACCGGGTGAAATGACTTGACCAGGGTCACACAGTTAATAAGTGTCTGAGGTAAAATTTGAACTCAGGTCTTCCTGACTCCAGGTCTGGTGCTCTATACCACTCTACACCCTACAATGTTTGCAACTTGGAACAAATCTATTTATATTATGCTAATTAGAGAATTGATTAGGGGCATTCCTTACTCTTGCGTCAGCAAGAATCATGGTAACCTTAGAATAAAGGGACTGTTACTGAACTGTTACTGTTATATCACACACAGGAGAAAACCTCTGTCTCCTACCATAGCAGGGAACTCTTGAAACATTCCCCTCTGCATTAAAAAGACCCGATATTCAGAGGAAAGGGTTATCATTAATACCTATTGGGAATTGTGGGAAATGCAGGCAAAGTCATGTAAATTGTAAACAGTCGCACTTTTTAAGAGCCCTTTATAATGCATGACTGTAAGTGAATGATGCTATAGTGGGAATACGAGGGAGGGGAGAAGGGACTAAGCATTTATTAAAAACCTACTATATACCAGGCATCATGCTGAATGCTTTACAAATACTATCTCACTTGAGTCTTACAACTCTGCAAGGTAGGTACCGTTATATTGGGTAATATACCTGTTCATTGGCAGGTGTCAATATTTTTTATTTTCCAAGATCTCTTTTTCATGAGTTTTATCTAAAAGGAAAAACAAAAACAAAAACAAAAACCCCTCGCTTTTTTTTTTGTTTTGAGTCTATGAACTGTGTGCTTACAAAAGGAACTAGTGGTATCATGTCACAAGGTTGCTAAATTTTCTTGGAGAGACAAGGAGCCAGAGTGGTCAAAATTCCTCAAAATGTATTTAGATTTTTATGTCACTTGCTTACTCTGAAGCAAGGGTAACTACTCTAGCACCAGCTATAATGGCTTTTCTCATAGAGGCTCTAGATACTATTAGAGAATTTTAGCTGTTAATCTGGAGAAAATATTAACTATGATGGCTAGAAAACAAATGAAAAAGGACTAAGCCATCTTATTTCCTAATGGAACTGAATTTAACCCTTATTTTGGGAAGACACATGACAAGAATTCTTGAAAAGAAACTTTAAAATGCTGAGAGAGTTGAATGGCAGAAATATATTTACAGAACTGAAGAGAAATCAGCAGTTGTGGTGATGGTTAAATGACTTTGGCTGTGATCTTTCTCATAGCTAATACATTGTAAAGGATGATTTGTGTGTATGTTTTATTGTTTGTTACATTGTCAATAAGTAATAATAATGCCAGTAACCTTGATTTTTTTTTTAAGTCTAGAAGATTAGGGTGTTTGACAGAGATGGTATAGTGAATGGTACACTGGACTTGAAGTCCTAAAGACCTTGGTTCAAATCCCACTTCAGACACTTTGCAATTGTGTGATGCTGGCTGGGTAAGTTACCTCTCTGGACCTCAGTTTCTTCATCTGTAAAATGTGGATTAGAGGCCATAATCCTGTATGATCTTATGAAATGCTTATGGTGAAAAAGGTTTTTGTAATTTTTTAAATAAACGAAATTTAATAAGCTGAGGTGGAGGCTCAGAGTGAATTAATTAGATATTTGCAATTTTAATGAAGTTTCTACATTAAGGAAATGAGATATGCCTACAAATAACCTTTTCTTTTAGTCCAAACTTACAAACACATCCATGTAGGGAACTCCCTATGTGGAAATTCCTTCCATTGGTGCAGATGGACAACTTGCACTTCAATTTGTAGTCTAAGAGAGGTTACCTTAGGGCACTAAGACATTCAGTGACTTGCCCAGGTTAAGTGGAAGACCACTCTGGCTGGTACTCAGCAACAGAAGGCACTTTAACTTGGCAGGATACGGGTTCAGGAACAGAAGCAGAGCTCAGTCTGATCATCTATGAAAGGAATGAAGGCAAAGAGCTGATGTATAGGTAGGTCTCATTGGTTTCCTGAACTAATCAAGCACCACAGACCAGATAAATCAGGAGTAAATATCAATAATATGCAAATTAACCAACCTTAAGGTGGTTGTTAATATATTGGGCACAATATATTTCGTACTTCTAATAATATGATGTTCAAATACGACATAGTAGTTTAGTCAAAGTAATTTCCTTTATGAATATTTTGTATATCACTTTAATTATTGCGAAGCATTTTGCTTACCATCTTCTCCTATAGACAGACCCTGATCAGGAAAGTCGTGCTAGAGATACTTTTAAACCTTCAGAAGGGGCTCCCCATTACCTTTCTGTTTCTTAGTTCTCTCAGTATACCTTATAACTAAAAAAAAAATAAAAGGTTACCACCAGAAGGTCCTAAAAGGGTCGACCCTGAAAGCACAATAGCTTCGTATTTTAGGTCATTGGCTATGATAGAGTTAGTGGGTTGAAACTTTTGGTAGTGATTTTGAGGTTACTATTAGCAAGGAAAACAGAACAAAAAGTAGCGTTGTCTTAAAAAGCCTTGCAGGCAACTGAGACCTTATCTGTGATGTCCCGGGTTCTGCCAGCATGGATTCCAGCCGTTTTCCCTTTTGGATGCCGGCGGTGTCTGTCCCTGCTTAGAGGAGGAGAATCTGTGTACATGAATCATCTGTGCGTGTGTGTGTGTGTGCGCGCTTGCGTGTGCGCGGGCGCTAGCTTGTCTGGGGAAGCCTCCTGTAAATGACTGCTTAGGAGATGGAGAAGATGGGGGTATAAATCTCCGTTACTCTTCCAGTTCCCCTTTGCTAAGGAATAACCAGTCAGTTAGTGAAAGAGAGGTACCGTGGGAGGGTGCCAGAGCCCAGGGATTCCAGCTGCGTGTGTAAGAGTCGGGAAAGGTGTGTGTGTGTGTGTGTGTGTGTGTGTGTGTGTGTGTGTGTGTGTGTGGTGGGGTGAAGGGAAGAAAAGGATGCGGAATCTGTCTAGTCCTTTGACGCACTCAGTGTTGTGGTGTTTATTTTGATTGTTTGTATCTATCCTGGGAGGCATGAACGATAGACGTGCTGATCTAGCTGATCTGATACGCTGATCAAAGGGTCAAAGGGAAATTTTGCAAGTGGAGGGGTAAGAAAGGGTGGGGAAGACGACCTTGATTTCCACCAATCACTGTGCGTTTGTCTGAGATGCCCTGGGTGCACAGGGTGCTTGTGGTTCTCTGCTGAATTAATTGAAGAGAGACTTATTTTATTTTCTTGGAGAGGTGGAGAAACCAATAGTGGGATAGCTAGCGGTCCCGGGTCGACCTGGATATTTACAAGGACTGGCAGCAGTGTTCTCTTTTCGTTCGAAGACCGCGCCGCCGCCGCCGCCGCCGCAGCAGCAGCTTCGGCCGCAGTCACAGGAAGAGCCGAGAGGCAACGAAGGCAAAGGAGCTTGTTTTTTTTTTCATTTGGCAGGGAGAAAGGGGCGGGGGAGAAGTCCAGGAAGCAAGTAACTGAAGAAAAGAACCTTTTGCCTGTACCAAAATCGAGAACGATCGTGATGCAGCACAGTCAACTGGGAAGACCCGCTGTCCCTGGATCTCCTGACTTCTGGAGGGAGACGGGAATCCCTTTCTTCTCCAGGGGAAGCTGCAATGGCCATAGCTGATGGCTTGCTCTTCTGCCGCTTTCGCTAAAAGGAGGGAAACAATTTATTTGAAAGTTGAGAATTAAAAGCCTTTGCACCACCAGTGGAACAGCAGCGGCAGGAGACGCGATTTTGTGGTGTGTGTCCGTGAGAGAAAGAGGACGGGAGAGGGAGAGCTGGAGAGAAAGAGATCAGGAGAGGGAGAGAGAGAGAGAAAGAGAAGGGGAGAGAGGGAGAGAGAGAGAGAGAGAGAGAGAGAGAGAGAGAGAGAGAGAGAGAGAGAGAGAGAGAGAGAGAGAGAGAGAGAGAGAGAGAGAGAGAGAGAGAGAGAGAGAAACAGTTAGTTGCATTTCATTGCATGGGAGCGCTTTGAATTTCGGTTTTCAGTTTTCAGTTCAAGCTCTGCGCTGCAGCTTAGACCACTGCAACACCATGATTGCGCTAAGCATAAGCGACAGCAGACGGGCCCGGAGAAAGACTTGGAGAGGGACTATGGCAGTATTGGCGTGTAAGTGTCCCCGGACCCGACTGCCAATGGGAGCTAGTGCCTTGGGCGTCTTTGTTCTCTGCTGGCTCTACGTCTTTCCAGTGTACCGGCTGCCCAACGAGAAGGAGATTGTGAACGGGGTACTGCAGCAGGGCAAGGCATGGAGGAGAAACCAGACTGCAGCTAGAGACTTCAGGTACCCAGGTTCCTTTCTCTTCTCTTTCACTCTGGCACACAGATGACGGCAGGCGCCTACTACTACCTTTCAAGCAGGCTCTGCCTGCACTGTGCATCCCTTCTTAGGAAATCACTCTCTCCAGTCTTCCTCATTCTTCTGTCTGCCCCCCTCCCCCCAATACTACACAATCACAACCCTTTCCCTAAGACTTTGTGACCTTGGCCCCTATCCACTCCCCACCCCTTACAGTAAAGATCTTCAAGGACACTTATTGTATGTAGGGAATCCCTCAATATTTATTGTCAGGTGTTTATCATCACCATCATCGCGATCATCGTCATCGTCATCATCATTTAAAGATTTCTTCCTGAAGTCTAGCTTAAAGAGGTTGTCATTGCCTCTCCTTTCCTGGTAGGGTGGGGAGACCTGAGTAACTTGCCCTGTGAACTTGTTATGAAAAAGGAGTTCTTGACTCTTGAATGTTGTGACCTTTGAGGATCAGAAGGTTGGAATGTTTCTCCAGAGGTCAGCCGTCAGGTAAACCCTTTGGCAGAAATAGAGACAGATGGAAATGGGCATTGAGAGGGCTTGGCCAATTGAATCCTTCCTCAAAGCCACCAGACAGCCAGACTCTCCAGACATATGATTTCTTTCAGTCAACCTTCATTCCCTGTTCCCCCCTCCCAGTTTTTTATTAGTCCCACAAACTGAAGCTTTCCTTAAAGAAAAAAGAATGTATTTCATTTTGGTAAGGATCTCACTATTCAGAAAGATAGGAAATCCCAGAATGAGAAACAGTTAAGTTTCCATTTCCTTACCACTTCAGTGATTTCACTTTAAATTGATTAAGAGACACAGAGAGAAGCCAGTAAATGAGAACCTGTGCAATGTTGTGCATGTGTGATTTAGGTTGGCATTATGCAAGTGTAGGCCATAGAGCTGGGGTAAGAAACAGATTAAGTGAGAACATTTCACCTTCTCCAAGGGCTCAGGAAGAGATTAAGGCTGAAGTCAGTGTTATATTGTAGTAGCTTTGAGGGGTTGGAGAAGATGTACATTTCAAATGAATCTGTCTAGCATGTTCCTCTTTGCATGTGTTACTTTAAAATTCTTTCACATTATGCATTTAGGAACATTTACTTTTTTTCCCTAGCCTTGCTCTGGTCTACATCCTCCTCTATGGTTCCTGGTCTCTAAGAATGAAGTTCAGAAACTTAGCAGACCATTTATGTCAGGGAAAAGTAGCATAAATCTTATATAAAAAGCAAGGGACATTTTTTTTGAGGGAGGAGTCATGAAATCATGTTTAAAACGAATATTTCTCCTCCCCAAACCTATTTAAGAATTTGTAGGACCTTTAGTGTTTTAATAGTTACAATAAAAAAACTCATAACCTGCAAATTCATAAATGTCATTTTCTCAATGGCAGATTCTTTATCTTTGGTTTCAGCTGATGTAAGGAGTTGATTAACAATTTTCTGTTGTTTTTGAATTAAAAAAACCCTTTTAGTTCAGAAGGAGAAATAGAAAATATCTTTTATAGATTGCCAACAAGAATTGTTAAGTTCTTACTATCTGTCAGGTACTGTGCTATTCACTGAGGATGCACATAAAGGCGAAAAATTGTCTCTGCCCTTAAGGAGATCTCACAGTCTAATGGGAAAGATAAACATGAAAATAACTAGGTAGATAGATATATTTGTGTATGTACAAGATATACACACATATATATGTACAAGACATCCATATGAAAAATGAAAGGTAATCTCAGAGGGAAGACACTGGGAGACAGGGAAAGGCCTCCTACAGAATGTGAGATTTGAGCTGAATCTTGAAGGGAGACTGGGAAACTAAGAGGTGGAAGTGAGGAGGGAGAGCATTCCAGGCATGGGAAATAGCCTGGGCAAAGGCCTGGAGATGAGAAATAGAGTTGGAGGCACAGCAGATCCAGGGCAGTATGTCTGGATCATGGAGTACATAGAGGGCAGTAGAGTTATAAGAAGACTGAAAAGGTAAGAAGGGGCCAGGTCATGAAGAGTTTTAAAATGCTCCAAACAGGACTTTATATTTGATCCATGAGGTAAAAAGAAACCAGTTAAGTTGGAGGAGACAATAGAGTAAGTAGTTTGGTAAAACATGGGCTGGTCTTTTCAGAGGAACATTTGTTCTTCCATCACCCTAAACTAATTTTAGTCATGTTTACAAGTAGAGAATAATTTATTAAACTTCATATTGTAGTAACTGCTTGCAGAAAAACAGTTATCTCAGAGAGTTAAAAAAATATAAAGTGTAATTCCATATATATGTTACCCTTGAAGTGAAAATACCTGACCAATGATGACTTGGATAGATTGTATAAGATTTGGAAACCATATACTAACCACATTTGGAGAAGTTTGTAAAGGAGCTCTAAAAGGAGTGACATTGTTTAAAATAATTTAAAAAAACCTCCAAACTTACTGAGTTAGCAGAGTTTTTAAAAAGCTCACTGTTTAACAACAAAAAATTGTGTTTTATTTAATTCATTGCTTTTAATACTGGAATTGACTATTGTAAAGTTCAAGGAGATTTTTTTTCCCATATAGAAGACAAAGTGTAATAAAGCTGTGTGTGTGTGTGTGTGTGTGTGTGTGTGTGTATGTGTATATATCTAGAATGCCAGAAAGGAGATATCATGAAGATTGACTTTTATTTAAATTGAGAATTTTATGTTCTTCATATTTATGTATGTATATATACAATGTTTATCATATTGACACATGATGAAAGAGATATACTATATATTTATACTTTTTTGCAGTTAGTTGATATTAATTTGATAAAGATATGTCACTGAAAACAGGAAATGGTACATAATTATCTTGGAACATATTATAGATATATTTTTACTTCATGCATTTAATAATAACATCATTGATTAATTTCTAAGATTATTTTTCCCACTGTCAAGACAAAGACTATTTCGGGATATCTTATGATTGTAGGCCACTATTGAATATTACCAAACTGGGTTAGCCACTTTTATAATTTACTATGCTCTCTTATTTTTGGGAGGGAATTATTTGCCTATGCTAACCTACTTTATGAGTTTTGTGTCAATATTTCAGTATTTTGAGGATATGTGATTTCGTTGGTATGCTACTTGTTTAATTTGAAGATTATAACCCTTCTAACCCATACTAGACTATATTTTCTGCTCATAACTTGGGAGAAGCTGATTGCCAGAAGAGAGTAGCTACTGGGTTTTTTATTCCTTCCCATTGCAGCCTTGTACAAATTGAGAAACCTAAGACAAGAGAAATAGAAAAAACTGTTTAGGGAAGCTGACGTTGAAGTTAAAAGGAACAAAGAGTATGTGTAAAGGAAAGCTGGTATCATGTGATTCTCTACTCCAGTACTCCAGTGAATCTGTTCTTATCAACCTGGATATTCCTTCCAATGATATAGATTGCAACCTATCTGTGCTTGCCCTCTATGTCTGTCCCCTCTATGTCTTTGCTTCATTATAGGAGATCCTTCTAAAATTCTGGGAGCCTTCCTTACATTTTTCTTAACATGGACATTATGAAGCTATCAGTGAAGGCCTGGTTCTCTCTGCCTCTCACCATGTGACTTGCTCCTCCTCCTAACTTCCCCATTTCCTTCAAGGACATCACCATCCTTCCAGTCATCTAGATTCACAACAGAAGAGCCATCCTTTACTTTTCACTTTTACTTGCATTCCCTTCATATCCTATCAGTCCCCAAACCTTTGTTAATTCTAATTCTACATCTCATTATTTTTCTCCTTCTTCCCATTCCCACAACTGCTTTGATTTAGGCACAGTATGACACATACCATTTCTCAACTCTGTGCCCATGAACGGACTGGCCTCTATTCCTGGCGGGTAGTTCCTCTTTAGCTCTGCTTCTTGGAATTCCTAAATCACATCAAGTTTCAGCTCAAGCATTAATATCCCAGAAAAGGACTTTCCTGATTCCCTTAGTTGTTAGGATCCCTTTCCAAAATTACATTGTGTTTATTTCATATATATATTTTGTGTTTACTTATTTGTATATGTGTTGCTTTTCCCCAGGAGAATGTAAGCTCTTTGATAGCAGTGACTATTTAATTTCTTTTAACCCCAATACCTAGCACAGTGCCTGATATAGAGTAAGGTCTTAGTAAAGTTTTGAATTGAAATGAATTTGATGACATCCTTTAACCCACTTTTTCATGTATTCTTCTGCATCTGTAATGTGTTGAAGCCTGCTGCCTCACTATTGCCGTTTGGGTGATTCTCAGCATCAGGTCTTCGAAGAACATAGGGTTCCATGACTTGCAACTGTGCAACATCAACCAGCAGAATATTGGCCTTTCTTTCACAGAGAAGCATTGGGTCATTGAAATAACTATGGAGGTTTCCAAGGGTCATCTAGCCCACTCTCCTCCTTCAGTTCAGGACTGACTCGTTATATTTTGTACATATACATACACAGATGAGTTTTGTAGGTGGTGAATCTAATTACATATCTTAGTCAAGACAAAAGGCATTCTTCATTCACTTGCTTTTCTGAGTATGTGTAGTTAAGCCAAACAGTATTGAGTGATTATGGATCTCCTTTGGGAGACTCTACAATATTCCTGGGTTTTTGACATATATTAACCATGAACAATAGGATCTTGCTCCATAGAAGGAGTCTTTCTTCCTGGATCACCTCCTTAACAGTAGCAAACACATTTCAGGAATAAATCCTCCTATTTTACAAAAAGCCTTACTTGATATAAATAATCAGAGTCATTAAAGAAGGTTATTCCTTGTTTCTGAGCCAAGCCTAACTGCCTGGATACAGCTGTTGTAGGACTGACTGAATATTTTGGGGTTTGGGCTATTCTGGCATACTTCCTGAAGAACTTATGTAAGCATATTTAATGCCAAGAGGAGGGCATTATATTACAGGGTCATCCAGCATATGTATCCTAGAGTAACCTCACACTTATTCCCCCCAATCCATCCTTTTTACCTGAGATTAGCATC